GGGCCTCCCCGCTGGGGACTCGGGCGGGAAGGAAAAGCACTTTTCCTCTTTGCAGTCTGTAAACTGTCTGGAGAGCTTCAAAGTTGGAGAAACCATAAAAAAGAAAATAAGAAATAACAGAAAGTGAGGTTGCCATAGAAACCGCTGCGGCTGGCACGGGAGCGTGGAAAAAGCTCGCGGGCTGGCCCGGCTCGCACCAGGAATGCGGCCGCAGCTGAACGGGGGCGCGGGTGTCGGCTGTGCCGCGAGAGAACATTCCGGCGCCAGGTCTGGAAAACAGGCCTTTGGTGACCCTCCTCTCGGGGCCCAGGGGCTGCGACACTGCGCATTCCTGGGGCAGGACCAGGGAGGCCCGGGCGGCAGGAATTGGCTTGGCCTTGAGTCAGTTCCTTCAGAAAAGCGCGGTCTTGGGTGGGGGGGGCGCCGGGGAGGGGCCACATTCCGCAGCCTGGGGCACCGGGCCTCCCTGGTCGGCCTGGAGGAAAAAGCCGCGCATGGCAACGCCGGTTTCCAGGCAGCCCGTCTCTAGGTGTTCCGGAGAACACAGCTGCACCAGCTGCCAAGGGCGCCGAGGGGAGCCGCGCGGGCTCGGCGGGCAGCGCCCAGCACCAGCCCCAGCCCTCATCTGACCTCGCCCCGAGGCCTTCCTTCTCCTGGCGGGTGGGAAAGGGTCTGGCTGGTGGCCACCTTGCTGGCCTCAGAAGCCTCCCGAGGCCTGCCCCGGCGGCCACGTGGTCCCGCCTGCGGTCCGTCCTGGGCTTTGGGCCCGGAGTCCCCGCTGAGCCCAGCCCCCGCCTCTGGCCGTGGCCATCCACTGGCTTGCCCCTCGCCACCTGGAAATCGCTTCTCCTCAGGGCTCCTCCGAGTCCAGTCCACACCTACTGACCTCTTCCAGCTACACACTGGTGGACATCCCCTCCACCCTCCGGCACTACTTCCTCTTCAGGCACACACGGGGGTCCCAGGGTCCTGAGCCACACCAGCCCTGTGGGCCCAGACCCCGGCCCCCTCCCCCTGCACGAGGACATTTCTGGGCTAACAGCTGCACCAGGGCGGCAGGGGCCTGGGCCTGGAAGCTGCCCGCTTTCCAAGAGACCCTGGCTGAGGGGACAGAGAGGCACCCAAGGCCTCTTGAGCACCCCTCCATTGGATGCCCTGCCTGGTGCCCACAGCCATTCTGAGGGACCAAGCCTTGGTGAGGACGCTGGGCCAGGTGATGTCCCCCTCCACCAGTCCAGGGACCCATGGCTCTGCCTCGGGGGGTGCCCAGGGAGCTTGCGTTGGGGGCAGCCAGGCTGGGCCCAGACAGCGTGCCCACCTCCCACCAGAGGCCTACCTGGAGCCCTCACTATTCCTGGGCCAACCCCACTGGGATGATTGTCACACTTAGGGACACATTCAGAGGAAGGGAGCAGGCAGCCCATCTTCCAGAGATGGACATAAATGATCCATTTGGATCGTCGGGTGACAGCTGGAGATGGCCTGCTGGGCAGTGTCCTCCCGCTGCCCACCTCCCGCTGCCCACCTACCTGGTAAGGCTGCTGTCACCGGCTCTGCCTCAGCCGCCCCATCAAGCCTGCAGGGAGGAGAGAAAGCAGCCCCTGGAGGCACCGTGCTTCCAGGACCCCACTGCACGCGGCACGTGCCTCTCCCCCTCAGGCCGCAGCTCTGGGGGCCCTGCAGACAGCAGAGGACACAGGTGACTGTCCTGTTTTCAAGGGGCAATGTGCCACCGCCTCTGGCAGCTCTACCGGCACCTGGAGGAGAGGGCCTGTGACGCCTGGGACCTGCTCTCGGCCCCTCGGCCCTTCCGTCTTGTCTTAACCCAAACATGCCACGGATGGAGCCGGAGCTGCAGTGTGACAAGCCCACCCCGTCCGTTTCCACAGCTGGCGCTGGTCTGAGCAGAACCAACGTGTGGCTTTTGAAAACTTAGGGTCCTATCTGCACGGAGGCCTCTCAGTGCAGAGCAAGGATCATTCAGAAAACAGCCGACGCGTGGAGTCCCTCTGGAAGCCACGTTTACTTTCCAGCAAGAAGTGACAAGCAGCAGCTGGGTGCGTGGAACGCAGTGAAGGCGGGGGGACCTCCGGGCACGGTGTCCCCCTCCTGGGAACTAAAGGTCATTGTCACCTCATGAAGCGGGAAAGAAAAGGCAGCACATGAAGGCAGGACTGGGCAGGCCTGGGGCCAGGCCCTGTGTCCGAGGGGTGGAGACGCTTCTGGCTACGGCTGCCCAGGCTCTCCAACGTGGGGGCAGGCTTCAGACACCCATCTCAGCGTTTCTGTCTCCGCCAGAGGGTTTTGGGGGGCCCACCACCCATGTGGGCTTCCACTCCGCAGTGAGTGATGGGCCCACTGCTTGCCCCCAGGGAGGGCCACCGCTCTGGAGGCCCCAGCTGTGTCCTCCGCGAGGACAGACGCTGAAGCCCCTGCTGAGCCCTGGCACCTGTCTGGGTCCGTGCCCCTGGGTCAGGCCCTCGGCCTTCTTCACACATCCTCTGGGGACAAAGGAGCTGGCGTCGTATGGATGCCTTGCACTGGGTCCTGCTGCCTCGGATATGCTTTCTGGGTGGCAGCGAGGACCCAGGTGCGAGGGGCGGGCTTTGCCCTGCAGTATCCATCCAAAGGGATTTCGGTGAAGCCAGGAGGGCTCCCCCACCCTGCCCTTGTGGCCTCGATTTCCTGTCATCAGGGTGGGGGTGGGGAGCATGGGGTTCCCTGGCTGGGGTTCCGTGACCCGCCAGGTTCTGACCCTTTGCCAAGCTGAAATACCACATGCATGGTTTGGGCGATACAAAAATAAAAACAGAAGATTTTTAAATTATTTCACTTTGAGTGGGGGAAAATGGGCCTTAGCGTAGACCCTGGAGCCACGTTAAGGGCCCCGAAGTGCGGGGGGCGGAAGGCAGATAAATAATTTAGCGCCAACAATAACCAGAGTCTGTCAGGCTGCTAGCTTTAAAGGAAATCATCGGGGCTACAAGAATCAGAGCATTTTTATAGAACCCCCAGGGCTGCGAGCAAACAGGCAGAGCCAGGCAGGAGCTGGGCAGTCCTGGCAAGGAGATGCCCGGGGTGCCAGCTGGCTGATGGGCCCATAGACCTGCAGCTCAGGCCTGGTGCCCATGGAGACCTGGGATGCACCCCAGGGGACAGAGGGCACTTCTGCAGCAGTGGGTGGTGGTGTGAAACACTGATTGGGCACCGATTGTGCCTCCAGGAGCGGGCGGCATCGGGGACGGATGGCCAACAGGCTTCCTCTTGGAACCATGTGGACTCTGTGTCAGCGGGAAAGGACCTGGGGTCCGGGTGGACATGGCGTGAGCGGGGAGGGCCCTGGGAGCGGGAGGGCCAGGGCTGCCCCATGGTGCCGCTTTGCCACGGTCAAGATTTTCTCTTTACCTGGGCCTGGTGCCCGTGTCTTCATGGTTCATATGCTTGGGCTTTGCCGAGTGTCTTGGATCTGCTGGTTTCTAGTTTTCATCAAATTTGAAACTATTTTGGTTATTTCCTTAGCTATTTTTTGTCTCCTCCTCACCTCCCACCTTGGAGCCTCCCGAGTCACAGACGTCATCTCCGCTCGAGACACTGCTTCTACGTGACGCTCTGTCTGGTTTCCATGGCCATCTTCAAGGTCACCCGCCTTCAAGGTCACCTGCGCTCTGCTGTTTGCTCCGTTGGTCATCCCGCGGCGGACTCTGCGGCTCCCGTCCGCACAAGCCCCTCTCAACATGCTCACCTCTCCCAGGTCTCCACGCGCCATGGTCAGTTTTTCCTCGTGAGCGCGTGGAATCCAGTTGTAACCGGCCGATGTCCTTTTTCCTCCAGCTGTGTCGTTTCTGGGCCAGTTTTGACTGACGGGTATTTCCCCTCATTGCAGATGGTGCTATCCTGCATTCTTTCCGTGCCTGGTCATCTTGGATCAGGTGCCAGACACCGCGAATTTCACCTTATTGGGGGCTGGATGTTTTCATATTCTTATAAATATTCTCGGTGCCGTTCCTTAGAGACAGTTTGATCCTTTTGGGTCTTGCCGTTTTGTTAGGTGGGGTGAAGAGCACTCTACCATTAGTGCCTTGTGAACTCGGAGGTCATCCAGTCCGGCTGCTGGAGGGCACTGGCGGGGCCCTGGGTGACTCTGGACGTACTCCCTTTGATCCGCCTGGTGGGTCTTCCCTTGTGCCCAGGCGCTCCTCCGTGCTCTGCAGACTCCAGGGTTCTCTCCTCCCCTCTCTGTCCTGCTCCATCTAGTTGCCTTGGCTGCCTGGGACTCCCAGTTTCGTCTCTCCCCCTGGGGACTCCTGAACCACCTGGGTCCCCTCCCTGTGCCACAGCTGGGATGTGGCGAGCTGGGTGGTCACAGGGCTCACGGCGATTGCTCCCGCCTCTTGGGACTCCTGCCCTTGGTCACCTGATGTCCAGTGTGTTTAGGGCTGCTGTGCAGTTTTTCACTGATTACTTGTGGGGTGCAAATCCAGCCCCTGGCACTCCATCTGATAGACTGAACCAAGACGTGGTGCTTAGACAGCACCAACTCCCCTTCAGTGGTCTGCTCCCCGGTGGAGAGAGGCCTCCTGCTCCCACCCTCCCCACCTCTGAGCCTGCAGCACGAGCACCTGGTTGTCCTTTCAAGGCTCCCAAGTGGCATCTTGTTCTAACTGGATGTGTCCCTGTGAGATGGGCCTCAGCCAGCGTGGATCACTCTGCCGTGAGGCTCCCACGCCAGGTCTGTCCCAGTTCCCCACGAGGCCTGGTGGGCCGTGCCCTTCGACTGCCCCAACAGGACATGTGGTGGACCCTCTGGAGTGGGGGAATTTGACAGCCTCCTCGAAGGATCAACGAGGTAACCCTACTGGCTCCCACTAGGTGCGCAGCGGCCCGAGTGACCCACCAGTCCAGTCAGCTGCCCCTCAGCACGGGTGGCCGTGGTCCTCCCCAGGACCTGTGGCCATGCGGTTCCCTTTCCTGAGGCCCTGAGAGTGTCCCGTCAGGCTGCATGACCTTAACAGGCCCTCTGGACCCCACCTCTGCTTGGGCAGGTGAGTCACAGGACTGCACCCTGCAAGAATGGACCCCGGGGACTTTGTTCTGTTGAAATTACCACAAGCACGCCTGACCCTAAGTAGACCCATCGCCCAGGCGTTGCCCACTGTAGCCTGGGCAGGACGTGGGGCTGTAGCCAAGCTCCATGGTGTGTGGCTTCTCAGATCTTCTCCGCGTGGCCCGGGTCAGGAGAGAAAATGGGCAGAGCTGAGAAAATCTCCATCATTGGAGTGGTTGCCATAGGGGCTGGAAGCCAGCGGCCTGCGCGCCCATTCTTTTGCTGGGGCAGCTGAGCGAGGCACCTGGGGAGGGGCACTGGGACCCCCTCAGCCAAGCACACAGCAGACAGTGAGAGAAAGGGGTGCATTTCAGAGTGACCGTTCCCCCAGCGAGCCCAGGGCCTCTCGTAGCCCATGTCACCCAAGCGTGTCCACCCAAAGGCCCTCGGGGTGTGGGCTTGGCAGCTCTGTAGGCAGGCACAGGAGGCCTAGTGGCTGCATACAGATTTAGAAGCCCATGGCCCTGGTCAGGCGAGGGGGCCAGGGGTGCTGGCTCTGGGCTAGGTCCCCTGGCCTGGCCCTTGTTGTCACTGGTTTCCCGGTCCGTGAGGTAGGCACACAGGCGTGGCATGGAGTGTGGACGCCCTGAGACCTGACCTGGGCGTGGGGCCCCCTTCCTGCAGCTGGTCAGGGGAGAGCTCACCCAGGGCAGTCTAGGTCAAGGCTCAGGCCCTGAGGTCAGGAGCACCTGGCTGCGGCCGCAGTGATGTCACGTGCAGCCTCTGGCACTAACAGATACACCAGCCTAGGGATCTGGGAGCCGGGAGTCAAGCACCAACCAAGTCACAAACCGGGAAAACTCACCCGAGGGTGGGCCGGCTGCCGAGAAGCCACCCAGGCTCTCCAGACCTACCCACGGGGGATATGAGTCCAGAGCTTTCTGCAGCCCCACAGAGAGCCCATAAGAAAGTTCCATAATTAGAGCAGTGAGCTAGTTGCCGGAGCCCTGACTTGGGGGACTGCAAACTGTTGTTGCCTGTCTAGGATCCCTGAGCTCAGCAAGTGACAGCCATGGCCCAGCCCCTGGCCGTCTCCCAGTTGGCTCAGCCCGTCTGTAGAGGGTTCTCTCCCCGGAGGCCCCCAGAGGCCTCCCCTTACCCAGGCTTGCAGGGGGCCGGGGTCACACTGCCATGCAGCCCCTCTGGGTGAGGCCCTCCCTGCACACATGGGGCCAGCAGAGCAGCTGATGGTCAGAGCAGGAGAGGCTTAATGCGTTCTGAGCCCTACCCTGGGGGCAAGGGGCCCATCCAGCACCATTTAGGGGCTGTGTCCCCAGCGACAATGGGCTCCTGGCCCTGGAAAGCCTGCAGGGTATTTTCTGTTTGGGGGTGCCTGCCAAGGAGGCCCTCAGGGGGGTCGTGAGTGGTCGCCAGCAGTCGCCAGTGGTGGCTGTGTGACAGGTTAACGCCGCCCCCCCAGAGTCCATCTGCTTGGCCGTGCCTCTAGCACCCTGCTGAGCTGTGGGAGACTGGGGTGCCTGCACAGCCGGCCCAGCTGCCTCGCCAGCCCTGACACCTGCCCCAGTGCATCACTGCTGCTCGGACAGGACAGGGCTCATTTTGCAAACTTTAGAAGTTTCTAGAGAAGAAAAAATCCCAGTCCATGCCCTCCTCTCATTGTCCCTGACACCCACGGGGGGCAGCTTCCAGCCAGGGACAGGGCGGCAGAGGCTGAGCCCCTGTGAGTAAGGGGGCCCGGGGGGGGCCTGCCGCCCATTGTCCTGCGACTTCACCCTGTCATGCCCTCCAGCCATGTCTGTGGCCTCCTGCTGCCCTGAGAACTCTCACCCCCGCCTAAGCCCACCCCTCCTCTGGGCCCCTGAGTGCCAGGGCGCAGGGCCGCCGGGAACCAGGAAGAGTGCCCTGAGCACACGCTCTGGTGACAGAGGCCACGAGCGAGCTGAGGACGGCCTTCCCAGCAGAGGGGCCAGCACGTGCCGAGGGCCAGAGGGCAACACTGTGTGAGCAGAACCCGGGCCGGGGCACAGGTAAGCTGGAGGGGTGGCTGCGGCCTTCACCCCAGACGTCACGCAGGGTTTCTTGGGGTCATTCGAGGTTAGATTCAGAAGCATTTGCCCATGTCCCCGGCCGGGGGTTGTTGGGGGCCAAAGGGAAGGGGGGGGAGGGGCGCCGGGAACCAAACCCGGATTTGCCCTCCAAGGTTAACATTGGCGGAATTAGCCCGGGGGTCCTGGTTAAGGCGGGCACCCCTGGGCTCAGGGCCACCGGGTTTCCCTTTTCCCCGGGGCCTGGGGCGGACGGGGGCAGTTCCTGGCTGAGGCCAGCGAGGAGCCCGTTTTTGCCCCCCAGCCGGGGGTGAATCTCCACCATGGGGTCTGCCTGCGGAGGAGCCCCCAGGCCAGGCTGTGCAAGCTGGACTTTTCCTGCCCGCCAGGCTGTCACTCAGAGCCTGTCCTCTTTGGGACCCGCTGAACCTGGTGGCTCCTGCCCAGAGCTTCTCCGGGTCCTGGTGGGGCCAGCCAATGGTGGGCTCACAGGACAGCACTCCAGACCCCAGGGCTGCTCTGGACTTAGTGGACGAAGGTGATGGCGGTTGTCCTGTGGCTCCGGCTCAGGGTAGGTGAAGAGCCCCGGATGCTGGCTCGGCCTCTGGGAGGGAAAGCCTTTCAGAGGGGACGACGACCTGTGTCAGATGCTCAGTGGTCACCCACAACCTGCGAGGAGGGGCCTGCAACCATCCACTACCTATTCAAGTACAAAAATCAATTGGCTCCATCTGCGTCGGCCTGATGACTAAGTGGCTAATCACGGAAGCCTTAATTAAACCCATTTTTCTCCGACCAAGCGGGGAAGTGGCTCTGCGGCTGCTGGTGTCAGGCTCCGGTGTCTTTGCTGAGCAGTTATGGGCAAGATCGGGCGCAGATTCCCGCGGAGACCACCGGAGCTGGGCGCCCGGGTTGGTGGGCGGCAAGCGCTGTGCTCGGGCACAAAGCACGCATTTAGGGTGTTTTGGGGGAAATCAAGCAGAGCCTTTCCTGCCCCCATTCCAGTGGCATTCTCACATGTGGCTGGCCAACTCCCGGCCACATTTGTGAAATCGAGTCCGTCTTTTGCAGCTGACACCACTTCGCATCACTCAGGAGCGGACGGGGTCTGTGTCATGTTGTGAAATTCCGTCATACGCCAGGAATGTGTCTGCAGGAATGTGGCGAGGCCGCCATGGAACCAGGCTGTCCCCGGCAAGCGGCCGCGTGCATGAGCTGCTCAGCGTTGGGGGGACGGGCGAGCAGAGCCGGCCCACCTGACTGTGGAGAGGCGGCAACTCAGGGACAGGATTTTGAGACAATGCAGACGCGCTTATGCGACAACAGGGAAAAGCCAAAGTCCCATCAAAGCACATTCCCAGGAGAAATGGGGTTAAATGGGCCACCCCCTCTGTGGACACCCCCGACCTGGTGTCCCCGTCATCAACACACAGGGCTCTTCCACCTGGGACTCTGCGGGGTGGGTGCGAGCCCCACCTTGCTCTCTTCATGGGATGGGGTCCATGTGGTGAGGGGCCCGAGTGCTGAACCTGGGCTCTCCCTTCCAGGGTGGCATGCAACCCTGAGAGCAAATGGTGAGAGCATGTCCCCGGGAGGGCAGGGGCCTGACAGGCCAAGGGCTGGGCTCTGGGGAGGCCCCCGGGCCCGAGACCTCTCCCTTCCCTTCCCTCGACCCAAAGGCTTATTTCAGGGAGCACGGGTAAGTTTTCTTAGTAGATACTGAGGAATTATGCAAATGAAGCCGAAACCACTGGCCTGTCACCATCTTCATGGAGAGAGAGAGACTCCTTCTTTAGTCATTTCTGTTGGGTGAGGGGTGCTAGCACGGGCGAGGCCGACTGGGGGCGAACTGAACGAGTGAGCAAATGTGAGGTTTGCTGTGGCTGTGAGGGCTCGCCAGCTGGAGGGCACACAGGTGGCCCAGGGCAGCAGGAAGGCGGCTCCTGTGGGCGTCGCAGAGGGATGCTGGCACAGCCAAGGGTGATCCGGGCCCCAGGGCCTCAGTGCCAGCCCGCCCTGCCCCCCAGCCTCACGGCCCTGCCACCTCGGCTGCTTCCACAGAGCCCAGAAGTTGGTCCCCACTCAGGTCTCCCCAGGTGGAATGGTGGCCAGCTGAACTGGGCTGCTGTTCCCAGCTTCTCCAGACTTTGGAATCGGGCACTTAGAGGCCAGACACGCGTGTCAGCCCGTGGCTCCCTGTCGCCTTGCCAGAGGGAGCTCCTCGTCCTGGTGCCGGACACACAGCAGGCCACTCAGGCTGCTGGGAGGTGGGTTTGGGGGAAGAATTCTAGAGTGGCTGCACGTCGCTGACACTGCATGGCCACCAGGGCGGGGGGACGATAGCACGCGGGATCAGATGGGGAGGCAGTCCGCACACACGCCCGTCCCCCTCCGACAACCGTTAACACCTTCGGAACCTCGTCCATCCAGCACACGTGTGCCAGTTGGCCTGAGATCAGGAGGTAGCAGGAGAGCCATTTGCAGCAGTTTGTAATTAGCTTCTGTCAGCATCTGCGTCCTGGGCAAGGCGGATGCCCGTGTCCTGAGACGGGAGTGCGCGCGGCACTGGGGTGGCGAGGAGGCAAGAGGGAAGGAGAAAGCCACGGTCTGCAGCGGCGGGGGTGGGCAATCGTCAGGCCAGCCTCGGGCTGGACCAGTGACCGCTGGCCTGTGTCCCCAGGGCTGTTTTGGGCAAGGACCCTATGGTGCCACAGAGTGAGACCTGGTGCCCCCATGCTGGCCCCGCAGCCTTTGCCTGTTGGTCACCTCCCTCTGGCCGGCACCAGGCATTCCCTCCAGGGAGGTCACTCTAGGCCTGCTCAGGCAGAATATAAAGAAGCAGACGGATGCAGAATTATGGGTTTGTGTGGGGGGGGTACAGCCTCGATGGATTGAGTACTGGCCCTGCAGTCTCTGCGTTTGCCTGAGCCAGCCTGTGCGGGAAGCCAGCAGGAGACCTAAAGGCCCTGCACCCCATGTCCGCGGCCGGGTCAGGCCCACTTCCCAGCACAGAAAGAGGGGTATGCGATGATGGCGACCAGAGCCCACGGGGCCAGCCCAGGAAGCTGGTGCATCTGTGAGATGGCACCACAGCTGGTCCTTAGAAGGGAAGGAGGCGGCCCCTGCTGAGTGGGGGCTGGGGGCGGCAGGAGCATTTGGGCAGAAATTGCCAAGGGCTCGGAGGTGGCAGGAGCCCACGCGCCCCTCTCTATCCCCATGTGGGTCCATTATTCACAAACTAGAGCCCCCACCTGGACTAGAAGCAGGGTTGGGCTCCGCAGGGTGCCAGGGGCATCTCATCCGCCAGGCCCCATTCACGAGGCCTGCCGACCCTTGCAAATGCCCTGCCCCCTTGGATGGGGGCCCAGCCGGGAACCATGCATCCGAGACTTTGCAAGGATTTTCTAACGCAAACCAGACACGGTGGTTGTCGCAAAACCCAAGTGCTTCTGTTTTGCCACAGCCAGGCCTGGCGGCTGGAAAGGATGGGTTTCCTAGAATTCTGAGGGGTGGGCTTTTGGGTCCAGAGACAGGTTTGGACACTGATGCAGGGAGCTGGTGCCCCAACCAGAGTAAGGAAGCTGGCAGGGACCCCATGGCAGAGCTGGTGGGAGGCGCTGAGCGCACATGCAGGCCCTCCCACTCTTCCCGGGGCGGGGGGCACACAAACACCCAGATGGGGCAGGGGGACTTGGGGGCACAAAGCTGGGGGGCCCTGTAGGAAGTCTTGAGGCCAAAGTCCCATCAGCAACAGGGCGTTTGGACGGTGGGGGCAGTGGGGTCTGAAGGAGGGAAGGACCCACTACCAAGACCAACAGCTGCAAGAGCCGTGACGGGGAGGAGCTGGGGGCACCTGTCAGCACTTGGGTGTTGGGGGGATGGTGCTCTGCAGGGACCCTCACCTCCACAACCCACTATACCCTCCCAGGGGCAGGAGCTGCAGGAGAGCTCACGGTGAAAAATCTCTCCCCAGAATTTCTATATTCAGACAACATAAGCTCAGCGGCCCTGGGATGGACCCCCTGAGAGAATGGACCACCCCACACCTCAAGGCCTGGCACAGGGGGTGGTGCAGCGGGGCCCCCAGGAATCCAGACGCTGGTCACACGCTCCATCTCAGAGACGCGGAGCATTGTGAAACCAGCGCACTTTGCTGAGACTGTAAGGAGCCCAGTGGGGACGAGGACACTTGGAGTGTAGCGCCCTGCAGCCCTCAGCTCACCCGCAGGGCTGGGAGGCTGAGCTGCGCACTCCCTCTGCTTCCTGTGAGCCATCGGACGGACATGAGGGCCGCCTTTTTACGAAATGAGACGGTTCAACATCACCCTCAGCTGCATGGTTGCCATGGTTACAACATCCGCAGAAGCCAGGCCCTGAGCACGTGGCGCTGGGCTCGGTCACCTGACTCTTTCAGCTGTTGGTGTTCAGGTCCTGAGCCCGAAACCCCGAGCACGTGTGGGGCCTGCGCGTCGAGCGAGATCTTGGCTGTTTATTTAGAACCTGTGTTCCTCCAGCGCATGTGTGAAGCAAGCTGTGTATTTAACTCACGCGGTGACTCAGAACAGCACAGGACGGCCCCTTCCCTGTAGCGCTCAGCCCAGCTCCACCGTGCCAGTGGGGTCAGGGGCTTGTCAGCGTGCCGACACTGCCAGCCTCCCAGTGTTCCCGGCTCATCCCACGCCCACTGGCGTCACCGATGCGCCACCTAATTGCAGGGAGCGTGGGCAGCTGTGCAGCTCCAGGCAGCGCACGGCCTGCTTCCCGTTTCTGCAGAACTCCTTATGTTCCTAGAGTGTTCTTGCTGGGTCTGTGCCCACAAGCCTCTGCTCTTTTTCGTGGCTTTTTCAACGTGTGCCCCTGAGCTGGCAGTGTGAAGAAAAGTGCCTGGTCCCAGGCAGTGGGAGGCGCCCCCAGCACGCTGACCTCGGCTCTTGGGAGTGGGTGGACAAGGCCTTGTGCCGGGGTCAGGCCTGGCCTTGCAGCAGACGGCATCACAGGCAGCCTGGCACCTCTCCCAGGCCCTGTGCTCTGCCCCCCCACAGGCCACATTCTCCCATCCCCACCCACCATGGCCCGGGGCCCTCTCCCTGGAGGGGGAATCGTGTCTTTCAGGGGTGGTGATTTTTTTCTCAAGGTGTCGTGTTTCCAGGATGTCCTGCTTCCAGCTCCAGGTCTGTGTTCCAGGCCGAGTCGCCCAGGATCCACCCACAAAGGAGACCACAGGTGGCAGGAGACAGGCGCTGGCCACACTGCAGGGACCTGCCCTGTGCTTCACAGTGTTGCAGCCAGCTCCCCGCGGCTCCCAGGGGCTTAGGGATGGGTTGGGGAGGCCAGGTCGCGTCCCACCAGAGCGAGGGACAGGCTGCCCCTGAAAACAGGGGCCTGGAAACGGTTCTCTGGAACCCAGCCCTCCCTGGGCTGGAAAGAGCATGTCACCGTGAAGTAGCAACAGAGGGGTCTCCTCGCCTCCCCACAGGACGACTTTCAGCCCCTCTAATTTGTCAAACGAAAATCCAAAGTGGATGTAGGTGAGCCTCAGCCGCCGCCTCTGCAGGACGGAGACAGGCCAGCGGTGGCCCCTGGCGCCCGGCAGACAGTGAGGACTGAGCCCCGACCAAGTGCCAGGTCACAGTGCCCTGCCCGCCCTCCCTGCAAGAGTGGCCCTCCTCTGTGGCCAGCAGGCCCTGCCAGAAGGAGCCGCCGGCCGGCCACATCCTTCAGGAAGCAGGCTGCTCGCGCTGCTGACCTCCGGCCTGTCCGAGCGAGGTGCTGAGGGGACAGCTGGGTACCACTCCTGCTGCCCCTGCTCCCGGGATAAGATCCCCTGAGTTCAGGCCAGACCAGGCCCCAGGCTCCCACTGAGGAAGCGAACGTGCTCTCCACGCCACAGAAGGCTCTGGGATTGCTGGGCAGACTGAGGCCTTGCCCATGGTGTCTGCGGGGTCTCACGCCAGTGGGGAAACTGAGGCAGGTGTGTGGAGAAGGGCACCCCTGCCCTCACCCATGAATGTGTATACCTGGGGGGCCCGCTGAGAGCCCCCCACCTGTGGCCCAGCTGGTGGGAGGCCAGACCAACCCCAGACGCCCGTGAGTGGGTCGACCCTACCTGCTGCCTGCTGGTGGGTCCCGCACGGTGGGCGTCCTCCTCTTGGGACCTGAGCTGCCTCTGGGACCGCTGCTTGCCCTCTACAAGTAGCAGGCGGGGGAGAGGGGCTCAGAGGGGCTCCCGGGTAGCTGCCCTCTGAGCACCCTGGACGCAGTGGCCACAGTGTTGGGCAGCGTGGGGGCCTCCCTACCTTGTGCTCGCTGTCCAGGAACGGGACCGGGTGGTACCCGGGTGGAGGGGGCCCGAGGCGGACATCCACGAACTGGGCACGGCCTCTCTCCACTCGCCGACAGTCTGCAGGACAATGGGGTGCGCCTTCCCCAGCTGAGGAGAAAGAGACATTCCCAGAAAAGTAAACAAAAAGGCTCTTCAAGCATCACGAAGCAAAGGTCAGAAAAAACCCTTCACGTGGCTGGGCAGGGGACAGGGGACAGTGGTCAGGGCAGGGGACCGCTAGGTCATCTCCAGGTAAGGTTGGGGGCCAAGGAGGCACCTGGGTCCTGGTGCTCCCCTGCGGCCCCAGTGCAGACAGAGAGGTTCTGTGTGCACGTGGTGTGGGGGTCCCTCGATGCTTCGGGGCTGGGGGCCTCCTCCCACAATGCTCCACCCCTAAGGCCCTGTGTTGGCCCAGGGGAGCCCAGCGCCCTTCTGCACACAGTGAGATGGAGGATATTTCTGCTTTGTAATGGCTGAGTGCTGTGGGTCCCTGGCAGTGGGGAGCAGGGTGCCATGAAGGGCAGCAGTCCCCCAGGAGACCCTGAAATCCTCAGATGGTGGAGGGCTGGACTCAGCCTGTCTGTCCCTGTAGTGGGTACTCCCACCAAGGACCCCTGCCCACCCTGGTCCTTTATCCCTCCTCTCCGAGGGGTCCTAGGGTGTGAGGCGACAAGGGCTTTCCTTCGGGTGGCACCATCCCCGGGCTCTGCCACCTGCAGAGGGAGCCCCAGCTTGCCTCTCCCTCCAGCTGTTCTGCACAGAGGTCAGCGGCTGAGACTGGACAGTGAGAACTTAGATGTTAGGTTGGTGCCGGAGCCCCCAGGACCGTTTCTCACACACACCACACACCACACCACACACCACACACACACCACACACCACACACACACACACACACCACACACACACACCACATACACACATACCACATACACACACACCACATACACACACACCACACACCACACACATACACACATACACACACACACACACACCACATACACACACACATACCACACACGCACCCCAGGACTGCTATCCTATGGGGGCTGGGCTCCCAGGCCCTCCTGACTGCCCTGGGTCCCTTGGGTCCCTGCCCCGCTCACACACACCACACACTGTGGACAAAGAGGCACCTGTGGGAACTGGCCAGGCCTGGGGAGGTGGCTGGACAGGGCCATGGGGATGCCTGGAGCCAGGCAGGGAGGGCAGGACGCCCCGGCTGACAGAGTGCTGGGGGCTCTCAGTGAGTGGAGAGGGATTTCTCCTCCATGCACCAGATGGGGCCCTGGGGCCGCAGACATTAACGTCCCTTTCCGAGCCCAATGTGTGCAGGCAGAGATGGAGACAGGCCCCAGAAGTATTTCCACAAAACAGGCAGGGAATTACTTCTCTCAAAGGGGTCTTAATTTCATCATTATGGCGCATTATAAGAAGTCAGGTCTTTCCCTCTGCAAGGACTTTCTGTCACTGATGTCCTTCGTCCAGCCGCTTTTGCTGTCCTCGCACTGTTCACGTCCTGGGCAATGGCTGGGAACCGAGCTGCTGACGGCCTCACTCCCGCTGCTTCCCGCACCACCGGCTCCACTGGGCCAGAGGAGCTAACTTTGACTACCTTTCATTGACACGTCCGGACCATAAAGACCCCCAGCTCTGTACCCTAACAGCCCTCTGCCAAGGTGACTGACCGCCGTGGGTTAGCCCCACACAGAGCACCCTAAGGCTGCTGGCTCCTCGGGGCGCAGCAACCTCAGACTGGACATGCAGCAGGCTGTCTCCAAGGCCAGGGGGCTGGAAAATGCATCCGGTGCGCCTTCAAGATCTGTTCGGACCTGAGTCCAGCGCTGCTCTGTCTCGCCCATCACGCCCTCACCAGCCGACGCACTGCGCTTGGCGGGACTCCTGGGTCCTCCCTCACCCCATGGCCTTCACGGGAAGCCAGGCCGGCCCCCTTCCTGCCCCAGAGCACAGTCCCGCCTCAGGCCACGCATGATGAGCTCGCTTTGTGGGAACCCTCCCTGCAGCCCCCTTTGCCTCCTCTGTCTCAGCTAGACTGTGGCTTCCTGGCTTGTCCCTCCAGGTGGTCACGCTGCAGGTGAGATGTCCAGACAGGCAAAGCCCGCCCTAGCAGCCTGAGTGTGGACCCTGGTGCAGAGCATTTTTGGGGTGGGTGATGTCGGCGCCTGGTGGAGACAGGTGGGGGTGGGGGTCTTCCAGATGCAGCTCTCGTACCGAGGGCAGGGCCTCTCTCAGGGTTTTAAAATTCATTCGAAGCTGCATGTGCTCAGAGCACCGCCTGCCCAGCAGTGGGTGGATGGTCAGCCCAAGGCTCCACATTTGTTTGAAGGCCCAGGCACCCCAGGCCCCGGGCCCGGTGGTCCTACCCTGGGCCCCCACATGCTCCCGCTGACCTCTCCTGCCTCCCTCCCTGGACCCTTTGCTGACATCTGATGCCGTTGTCCCTGGGTGCCGGCTGACCCCTTCTCGCCTCTGTCCATGTCCCCTAGTTGGGAGAAGAGCCTCACTCCCCATGGAAGTAAGCACCACATCCACCCAGAGGGGCCACCAGCTCCGCCTCCTCCAGAGGCCAGATGCCCAGCTCCAGCTCCTGCAGACGCTCCCGGACCGGGACAGTCTCGTGCCTCAGGCTCCCCTCTCAGTGAGGGGCCCACCCTCCAGCTGGTTACTCAGCCAGCGACACCGGTGACGTCCTGCATTCTGCCCCCTCCTGGTCTCCCCATGACAACCATCTTGGGGTCCAGGCCACCGCCTGGCCTCTTGGTCCCTGCCTCTGACACCAGCATCCCTCACACTCCAGCACTCGAGTCACAGCCAGGGGCTGCCTCGCCCTGCTCCAAACCCCGTCCGGCTCCAACCCCACTGCTTCCTCCTGCACCTTGAGCAGACAGAGTCAGGGCCCAGGATGGCTGCCCTCAAATCACACCCCTCCTCGCTCACACTGCTCACTCGCACGGGCGCCTCTGGCCTCTGCTCACATCCCTCACCCTGTCCTATTGGCAACCCTGGCGTCGTTGGGCCAAACCGCAGAAAAGGCTGAGACTGCCAGTAGGTGCCGCCCGAAGGAAGGAACACTAAGTTCTGATCAGAGACAAAGCTGCAGGCACATGTGACGGCATGGCCACTGCAGACACCCCCTGCCCACTGGCAGGCTGAGTGACAGGCCGGCGGGCCTGCTGGCCGGAGTTTCCACAGCACCGAGGGCTGTACTACAAGGAAGCCCTGAGGGACCACTTGAGGGGAGTGTCCCTGGGCTTGCTCACCTTGTCTCCAGCACCCTGGCGCATTTGGGGTGGGGGGCACTCCCCTGTAGATTGTAATGGTAGCAATTACGGCTTTATCAGCAAGACAAAGGTCACTGTCTGCCTCCAGGGAGGGGGCGACTCCAGGAAGGGGAGCTGAGGCCGGGGAGATCGGGCAGCTTGACTGCTCCAGGAGGGAAAGGCCTATTAATTATCCTTTTACAGCCTATGCAGTCAGCCTCCCCAATCACCTGTGTCGGACAGAGGCGGGGAGCCGCTGGAATAAACAAGGCTCGAGAGGGCAGAGCCGTTACCGCCAAATGGCCGCCGTGGGCCCAGGGCCTCACCAGGCGGAGAGCCAGCGACTGGACAAAATATTTTCTTCATGTAAGTGAATCAAAATAATAAAACGTTATTGGCCCTAAGGGGACGAGAGGAGTCTCATTTGGAGGTGACCAGTCACACTGCATTAGTCTTCAGGGCAGACTCAACCAGCCAAGGAGCGCCTTCCTCAGCAGGTGGGCAGAGCAGTCTCAACGGCGGGGACCCAGAGGAAGAGGGGCTGTCCTGAGGGCCATGCCAGGCCAGGCGGGCACCCTCAGGCCTCTTCGAGCGCGGTCCAATTGGCACACACATCTCACTGCCCAGCCCTCTGCCCTGCCGTGGCCCAAGGCTGGCCTGGAGGCTGTGCCATCAGAGGACAGGGTGAGGGCAGGAGAAGGGGTGGGGGCGCCTGTACCTTGGCTCCCGCCCCAGCAGGCAGCACATGGCAGGGCCTGTTCCTTCAATGCAGAGTTCTCACTGCAGCCCAGCCAGCTGGCCTCTCTGCACGCGATATGCACGTATGCATGCACACACGCGCGCGCACACACACACACCCCTGCCCAGGAAGACCCCAGTCACACAGGACTGCTGAGCGTGGTGGCCCTTCTCAACAGCCCCAAGTGCCTGCCTCCTAATATGTGTCATCTCTAGGGACCGCTCCCCACAATGTTCAGACCCATGCCCACCCTCAGGACCCTGCAGTCTGGAGACCGGGGGGATGGAGGGGTGGGGGTGATGGTCCCTGGATCCTGACAAGGGGGCTCCTGTATGTGCATTTAGTGAACCAGCCAGGAGAGCTCTGGGCGTTTGGACAAGCTTCTCCATCTGTCCTGGCGTCCATGTCCCTCACAGCGGTCTCGGGGGCCCTGCGGGCAGGGTGTCTCCTCAGCAGCCTGGGACACATGTATCCTGGGCACAGAAATGAGTCACACAGAAATACCTCAGCCTGTGATGTGCAGCTCAGAGTCCATTTACATCTAACAGCAGGTCAGGCTGTGCTGTTGGCTGATGAGGTGAGTGGCGTGGCTGGCGAGCTGAGGACTCTGCGAGCCCTACAGGTGACTAGAGGTGGCACAGGGACCCTTCGTCCCTCCTGGTCCTGCCTTCCTGACCCTGGAGCCGGGAGCCCTTGCTTCAGAACTCAAGTCTGGGGCCGTCGTCCTCACTTTCATCACCACCACCATCACCATCATCACCATCACCTTCATTATCACTGTCACCGTCACCGCCATTGTCACCATTGCCTTCGTCATCACTGTCACTTTCACCATCATCACTGTCACCACCACCTTCGTCATCACTGTCACCACCATCACTGTCGCCACCATCACCATTGTCACCATCACCTTCGTCATCACTGTCACCACCATTGCCATCGTCACCATCACCATCATCAGTTTCACCACCATCACTGTCACCATCATTGCCATCATCACAATCACGTTCGTCATCACTGTAACCATGATCGCCATCATCACCATCACAATTATTATCACTGTCACCATCATCACCATCATCACCATCACTGTCACCACCATCGCCATCGTCACCATCACCATCATCACTGTCACCACCACCACTGTCACCATCACCATCGTCATTACTGTCACCACCATCACTGTCACCACCATTGCCATTGTTACCATCACCTTCATCATCACTGTCATCACCATCGCCCTGTCACTGCTGTCATCACAGTGACCCACCTCAGCTCCATAGTACGTCACTCAGCACCCTTCAGAGGCCAGACCCTTGGCTGCGCTCTTCCCAGGCGGCTTATGCACACTTAATGGTCACCTCAACCTAGAGGAGGGGCTACTGCCTCCCTTGTTTACAGATGAGGAAACAGAGGACAGCCACCGCCAGCCCAGGCGCCATGCTGCTCTGCAGGTGCCCAGGGCCTCTCCTGGCTATGGGGACACTCTGGTTTCTGGTCTGCACACATCTCTGTGTCACTGGGGGGGAAACAGGTGCACATCTTGTCTCGAGACCAGGGGGCTGCACCCACATGTCACCCCCTTCCCCTTGCTGCTCTGTTAGTCACCTCTGTGCCCTGATGTGCCCACAGGTGTGAGCTCACACACACGCATCCCCACTGTCACACTCACCGGGAAACATCTGTGCACAGCGCCCCGCAAGCGGGTGCACGCACACACACACTAACACACGCCCCACTCGTTTGCACGCCCACATTCCCTGCTGAGCAGGCGGCCCTCAGTGGAACCCCAGGCCTGCGTGTCCAGCTGGCCCTGGGCCTCTGCTCACAGTGGTGCCCTGTGCCACAGGGTTCCCCGCCAGCCCAGCCCTCACCGCCCGCATCACCCTGCCTGAATGTGCCCACAGGGGCCTGGGCCGGGCCTGCACCCTCACTGCCCACAGAACAGCAGCGACCCCCAAGCAGACCCCTCCTCTGCACCGTCGGACGATGCTGCCGGCCTCCCTGATGGTAGCCAAGTCCTGGCCCCTACTTGGGGGCCCCTGGATGGGTCAGGGCGCCTGCCTGGCCTCCTGCCCGGGGCTGTTTCTGAATCACAGGGGCCACACCCTGTAACCCCCTCCTCTCCTCTCCCCACTCCAGCCCCCCCATCAGCAGTTTTAGGCTCTGCCCCAGCACTGTGTCCACTCCCCAGTAGACAGACACACGCAGGCAGCATGTGGTTGATAGAGGGCCGTGACATGGCGGGGAGATGTGAGGGAGCAGAAACCGCCCCTGGAGCGAGGCCTCGGGAAAGCGGGGTCTCTGACTACAGCAGATGGAGAGCCCCTGCAGCAGTGTCCAGGGGGGCAGCAGAAGGGTGGGTGGACATGGGGGTGGACATGGGGGTCTTGGGCTCAGGGCCAGGCAACAGCTACTTTGTCCGACGCCGGAAGAGGCCAGCAGCCACTGGCCAAGGTTGATTCATGGCCCCGTCAGAATCAAAACTTGAGGGATGCTGGGACTCAAATGAGGTTACCGTCTCTGGCTGGTCTGGTGGTTCTAAGGGTCTGGGGCCTGTCCAGCAGATGGCTCAGACCCCCAAGGTCACAGGCAGCTTCTCCATGTCCCCCCAGGGGACCTCTGAGTCCCTGACCAGGCAGGTGAGAGAACCAGGCGGCACTGTGTTGCTGGGGCGGGGGGGGGGGGGGGGCAAGCCTGGGTCCTGCCTGTCGTCCCTCTAAAGACCCTTTGCACCCAGCACATGAGCCCGGCCTTCTGGAAGGCACAGCCACATGGGTGCAGATTTCCTACCACACAGGACCCCAGCTTCACTGGAAACCTCCTGCCAGCAGAGCCAGGGGGAGCCCCAAGTGCCCCCAGCCTCCCTTCTCTCTCTCTCCAGGACGGTAAAACTTGGGGCTGACCTTGTGGTGGGTCCGAGGCAGCACCAGGCTGCTGCCCTCTGACTGCGGCCTGAGAGGAGGCAGGGGCTCCCCGGCTCTCTCGTTAGCCCCCAGGTTGTTGCTTGCCCCCACCACCCCGCTGACGGGCTCCTCCTTTTTGGAGGAGCACCCAGGGTGCAGGGGAGGCTGCAAGGCAGATCCCAGGGGCCGGGAGAGTGAGGTGTGGAAGGGACGCACTGCAGGTGCAGTGGCCTGGGGACCCTGCGGCTCCCCAGCCCTCTGGGGCCTGGCTCCAGGCAGACGCACCCCTAATGTTCGAGTTTATTTGCATTTCCACTGCGTTGGCCCTGGAAGCAACGGGGGCGTCTTTTTAGCCTTTTCTGGGACAGTCTCTTTACACTGTGTGATTCCAAGACAAGAAACTTGTAAGACAAAATTTCCTTTAAAAATACAGACCTTCCACACTCACTACTCTGCCGTAACAAACCAGAGAGAGTTCATATTAAAACATGTTACCACTGGAGAGGTGCTGAGATTTCCAGAAGTTGTCTGCTACACATGCCGTCACTTTTACTGGCAAGATAGGATCTGCAGCAGAGGGCACCTTGATTTTTAAATTCATCTTACAATTACGGGTAATTCTTCGCAGATCCCATCTGATGAATGTTCAATACATGAAAAGGCGAATCACTCAGATCCACTGGAAACATTTCCTGGGAGGGTTTTGTGCATCACAAAAAAGAAGAAAAGCAATCGCGGCGCTTAGGTTCCCAGATCCAGTTTAGGGGGATTGTCTGAGGCCCTGGGGCGCAGCCAGCCTGACCAGGGCCCCCTGGCAATGGCCCGCACCTGCGTAGGATTCAATGGGCCTAAATTACCAGGGTCGAGGCAGACGCCCCGCCGACAACAATTAACATAAAAGGGCTCCACCATTTAAAGCTGTGGGTGGGAATTACAAAAGGTTAAGAGACTAAATATAAAAACCTTTCTGAATATAAAATCAATGTGCTTTGTTACTGAGATCTGGGTGTTGTAATTTAACCAAAGTGGGGTTTTTAGAGTATCTGGCAATAGTCCACATCTAGAAAATCGTCTTTTCTCCTCAAGGCCAGGCAAGTTGTCTATTCAAAAGTTAGAAACAATGAAACAACTGAAATATTTCATATCAACAAAATAATAAAATACGAAGTTTTACAATTACGTATTACTGACATTTGACCTCTGGAAAGAGAAAGCGTTTTTTTCCTCCTCATTCTACTTATTTGTATAATTGGAAACCAAGTTTTAGAGGGTTTGCTTTCTTAACTGCCTGTTAGCATGTTGATCTTTGAGCTGAGAACCTGTTCCCAGTCGGTGCACAAGGGCCAAGCTCCCAGGGTGGGTGCTGGGCACCCCCGAGCAGCCCCAGGCCACCTGACAGCTGGAAAGAAGGTGCTGGATGAGCCCAGGGGCCTGACCCTGTGTGGTGGCCGTGGGCTGTGGGGGCAGGGCGGACCCCAGTGGCCTTTATCCAGCTGGCAGGGGGTGCTCTCCGGGACAGAAGGCGTCTAGTTCTGCCACCCAAGGTTCTGAAACAGACTTGAAGGGCCACATTTCCTTCTAGGGATCTGGGGGTGGCAGGGGAGGGGTGCTGAGCGCTTGCAGTGGGGGCCGGCGGGTCCCCCTGCGGCTGCTCCCGCCTCCTGGGAACCGGGCTCCATGCGCCCCCGCTGCAGGCACACAAGCTCAAGAACACGTAGAAACATGGATAATTGCTTTAAATGCAAGACGACGCCCGCTCTGCTCTATTTTGGGTCGCCTCACGTGGCCTCGCTTCTCTCTAGGGCGGCCGAGCGCCTCCTTCTCACCATTCCTCTGGGGGCCGCTGGGAGGGGAACCCCCTACCCGCTCAAAGCCCGAACACTCGGCTGATTGGAGGCCTCGTTCCAGTCGGTGCTCGCAGCAGCAGGCAAGCTGGACGGGGCAGCCGCCAGCAGCAAGTCCCCACATGTCAGGTGGTCTGTGCCCATGCCCCGCCCTGCTGACTGCCCTCTCACACCCGGCACTGCCTCCAGGAGCAGAGCCTGCAGGTGAGACCTGCCGGGGGTCCTGCGATGCTGCGTCCAGCTGGGGTGCCGCATGATGGTTGCTTGGGGAACAGACCCTGTGGCCAGGCCCCCCCCCCGCCGGCTCCACCTCTGCCCATCGGGGCCCCTGCTGGGCATCAGAGCGCCAGAGCCCGGAGGGGTCCCCTATCCAGGACCAGGGTGGCCCCCAGGGCGCTGCCTCTCGTCTGTGAGTGAACCTGTGACAGGAGGAAGACAGGGCACTCAGCACTGGCCAGCCCACCCGTCTGGTGGGCAGCCGGAGACCTGTGGCCGGGACCCAGGGCCACAGCCGGCTCCCTCAGTCCCTGCTGCTCTGCCAGGTCTGCGTCCTCACCACCGGCTGGGTTTGCAGTTACCACCTGACAGTCTTGCGGTGGCACTGCAGGGAGAGATGGCAGGGCGTGGCAGGTCACACGCGGGGCACACTTCCTTCAGCAGGCGTAGATGAGAGGAGATGCAGGCTGATGGGGGCAGCAGGGCCCAGGAGTGGCAGCTGGTGACGGGGTTTCTCATTTGAGCTCTCAGACCATTTGGCAAAGACGGCCGCCTGACAGGAAACCTCCATTCTTCTCGGTAAGAGAAACGGATTAGCTGGCAAATTGCGCTTCTGGTCTCCCTGCAGCCTGGTGAGATCCCACAGCCACATTCTGGCCCATGAGGCATCAGCAGCATGGGCGTGGCACCAGGAAGCTTCTGGAGGGCCGTGCCTCAGGCATCACCCTGCTAGTGGGAATAGGGGCATGATGGCTGGCGCAAGCGCTGCCCTCTAGGGCCACAGGGGTCCCTGGAGATCGGGGGGCATCACCTGGCCTCTGAGCTTCCAGGCAAGAAGGAAACGTGGATGGAAAGTAGCCACCGCTGTGCTGTTAGAGGAGAGGCAGCCACACCTGGTCCTAAGCACACAGCTGGCCGGGATCAAGCCACAGAACATGCACAGCCTGAGCTCAGCAGCAGCTGGGGCAGCTGGGGAGGCACGTAGTGAGCAGGGGGTACTCCCGGGGAGAGCAGGGCACCCTCGTCATGAGGTCTCCCGAGGGCGTCCGGGGTCAGGTTGTGGGGCACGTGGGTGGTCAGTAGGGTCTGGGACTCGGCTGAAGGGCCCTGCAGTGGCGCGTCTGCCCTGGACGCACATTTTACTGCATTCGCCTGCTTGGGGGTCGTCATCGGTGCCTTTAACAGGGACAGTCACTGCAGAGATTTTCTGGCCCCAATTTATTTCAGGCCTGGTGCTGGGTTATCTTTCGACCTGAAATTTGCTGGGCAGCGTCCTCCGCCCTTCACTTCTGAGACCCGTCCGTGTGGCAGTCCAGGCTGCTGGCAGTGGACGTCCGAGACGCTTAGCAGGGGCCACCCTCCCTGTACCGTGTCCTGTGCCTGCTGCCGGCGCCAGGTCAGCGCAGAGCGGGAACTCCCAGCTGGAACCAGCACGGCCACCAGACCCCCTGCCTCTCTGAAAAAGGGCTCCAGGGCCCTTGGTGAAGAAAGAGATGCTGGAACTGGAACCAAGTGAGCAAGTGCCACAACTGCAGGGTCCGTATGAGAGGGGTGGGGCTCACTGGGTCGTGAGGACACAGTGTGCTCTTACCAGGAAGCGGGGACCTGGTTTAAGTCCCTGCACCGGCGGCTGTCTGGAAATGCTGCGGTTTCTGCTTCCTCTCAGGATAACGGGGAGAACACTTAAGTGACAGGCATCCGTCCCCACACGTCACAGAATGAGCCGTGCACCCCTGCGCTCCCTGCCCCCTCGCCGGGTCTGGGCTCTGCCCTGCATGGGGGTCTTTGGGCACTGCTGGGCCAGCCACGCCCTCCTCCTGTGACCGAGTGACACCCGCTGGGTCACAGGCCGGCCTCGGGGCCTCCTGGCCTCAAGGGCTTCCTTGTTGCAGCCGTTATCAGTTAGAGCTCTCTCTCACGAACGGCTGACCGCTGTCCTACCTGCAGCAGGACTGAAATGTGCAGCCACTTCATTTTCCCTTTGCAGAATGCACAGGAGGCTCGCCCGTGGCCAGCGTGTTCATCACCCGGAACAGACGCAGCCCCCCACCCCAACGAGTCTGAAGGGCTCCGGCACGAACAGGGCAAGGAGCCGAGGTTCCTGGGGTGGGGAAGGACACCCTGCAGCCCGGAGTGTGGTGGGGAGTCTTTAGCGGGAGTGGTCCTGCAGTTCAGGGGTGAACCTGTTCCCACGAGGGAAATGCCAGTTTTAGGGGCAGTAAAAGCAGAAGGGGGTCCCCTCCCTTCTCAGTGTGTACTTCCCCAGGGTCAGACCCCATGACAGGTAACAGAAGGCCATGAAGTGGGGCCCTCGGTCAGCCGTGTCCCAGAGGCAGACACTGTTGTGTCCTCACTTTACAGAAGAGGGAACGGAGGCACAGTGAGTTTCAGCTAGAAGATGGTAGAGAAGCAGCAGCCCAGCCTGTCACCCCAGAGAAACCTAGGGAGGGGCCCAGGGCGTTTGACAGGCAACTGAGATGCCTGTGGGGCTCAGGCCCAAGCAGGTGTCCCCAGAAGCACCTTCCTGTGGCCCACCACATCCTAGCAGAGGTGGGAGCCTCCCAGGAAGGAGGCTCTGGCCCGAGTCTGTGCCAGGCCCACCCCCGGTGGCACAGGCTCGCCTTGGGCCTGGTTTCCACTGAGACTCATTAGGCTCTGAAATCCCTCTGGTAGAAGGCAGGACCCGCAGCAGTGTTTTTACGCAGGAATGAGACCTGTCCGCCAGGCAGCTGAAATTGCTTCTATAAACTGAGTTGAGAGTGCATGGGGGTGCGGGCTAGCCCCCCTCGGGCCTGAAGAACGCAGGACAGGCCGGGCCTATCTCCCTTCCCGTCAGGGCGGGTCTGGGCGTCCGCGTGGTCACAGCGCTTCAGATCTGCCCCATTTTGCCCTGGAAACCTCCCACCGGCAGCGGCCCCGGGCTGGAATCCTAAGGAGGAGGCTGGCAGGGGAGTGTGTGTGTGTTGGGGGGGAGGCTGAGAAGAGCAGGAAGGCCCCCAAACCTAAAATCCATGTGAATCTTCCCGGTGGGGACCCCAGCTGCATTTTCTGCAGCCAGGGCACAGGTGGACCAGGATGTCAACTCAAACGCCCCCCTGCTAAGAGGTGAGCTGTGTGTTTGCGATGCCCGGAGCTGTGGTGGGTTCAGTATCGCCGGCATAGTAATGCAGTGAGCGCCAGCACCCGGCTTCCGGGAATAGTTCCGGAATGATCCTTGGCGAGGCCAGACCGCACACTCTACAGGAGCAGGTTCTCGCCTGCCTGGTCGGCGGGCGTGGGGGTGCTCTGCCCGGCCCCCACATCTCCGTGGGGATCAGGAGCCCAGCCCACACAGAGACGCCCACTGGGCAGGAGAAAATGAGCTGGGAAACCGGGGAGCTGGGCGGCGTGGGGGTGGGGCACAGCGCTGACCTCCACCCACAGGCGCCATCATCGGGTGGCCTGTCCAGGCTGACCGCAGGCCTCCTGGTGGCAGTGGCCTCGGTGGGTTTGCCACCCCTCGTCCAGGCCTTGGCCTGATAAACCCAGAAACAGCCCTGGGGCCACAAGCCCAGGGGTTGTATCCGCTGCCAGGCTTGTGACAAATGAAAAAAATGACATCGCGTTGCACTCACGGCGACGATCAGGTCTGCACGTGGGGGACACAGCACAGCTGCCGCAGCCCTGGGGCCGCTCCCCCCCCAGAGACATTGGGTTCCCACGGGAACAACAGGCACCCCAGTCTCCTGGATGCCCAGGGCAGGGCAGACACAACCTGCTTTCTACCCACTGCCACGGCCGCTGGCCCCGAGGAGGAGGGCCCCGCTTGCTCTCCAGCTGAGTCCTGCTAGGGTCTGGGCACTGTCATCCAGGGTCATCCTGTCCCTCCCAGGTCCACTGTGCCTGGGTTCTCAGGGGTCAGCTTCCTTTTCCTCTGCCCGAGGTCTGGGGCACCCGCTGTCACCACACGTACCGGAGAGCTGGCACCACTCACTACTGACTAGTTGGTTAACTCCACTCACCAGGCAGGCCGCTGGGGGTGTCCTCCTGGTCACGCAAAGCACCTGATGCCATCGTCACCGCCAGGTCTCCCTTGGGGAAAGGTGAATCGGCGCCGGCACTTTCTGGGGCAGCTCCGGGCTTTGGGCCCCCAGGCGTGGGGCTCAACAGAGGGTAGGCGATGCACTCAAACCCACTGTGAAGGGAGCACAGGGCTGCGCTCAGCTCGACACGCTGGGGGGATACGGTGGCCAGGGCCATTCCAGGGAGGAGAAAGGGCCGAAAGCGGCCCCTGTGGGAGTGAGGTGAGGAAAGGAAGCAGGGAGGGCCGGGAGGGGTCTTGTTCTGGGACCACCTGAACTCGTGCTGCAGCCCAGCCCTCCCTGCCTCCCGCGCTCTGCCTGGCACCCGCGGTCTGAGGGCGCCTTTGCCTCCCCTCAGCTCGACTGAGTGTGTCGCGTCTGGTGGTCACCGCTGTGTCCCCAGTGCCGGGCGGGAGTGACGCAGGGAAGGCCCCAGGTGGAGCAGTTTGGGCGATTCCTCCTCAAAGTTGAGGAAGGGCCCTCCCCCCTGCCGCATGTGTGTCACCCACAGTCACCCTTACTCACAACGGGGTCTGGATGGGCACCTCGTGGCTGCCCTCGTCCACTTTGAAGAAGCTGACCTCCGAGTAGGCTGGGAGCTGCACGTGCCTGACGCCTGCTGAAATCTCCAAAACCCGGCCGTCCTCACCTTCCAGAAGGAGAGAGAAGCAGACTGAGCCGGGGAACAGGACAGGAGGGCCCCAAGGACCTGGGGTCCCCCCGGCTCCGGCCCTCGCCCTGCCGGGCAGGGCCTCAGTGCGGTGGGCATCGGGGAGGAGCGTCCACAACATGTCCAACCTGAGCTCTCCGCTCACCTCCCATCCCCTCCCCCCGCCCTCGGCTGAGCTGTCCACAGCCGCCCCCACCCAAGCCCGGTTCTGGGCTCCAGGGCACCGGCTGAGCCTCTGGCCCTGGCCCATCCCTCTGGGAGGGCGTCTCCTCGCTGGCCTCACAGGGCCTGGGGGATGGTGCGGCCGTAAGCAGACATATGGTCTGCCTCTGTCGTGGGACTGGTCACAGGGGGACATCGCTCCTTGTTACCCACCTCCCACCCTGACAGTGGGACGGGCTCCGTCCCAATCATCTACCCACAAGGCGCCCCGCACACTGCTGGTCACGTGGACTGGGCCCAGGGTCCGATGGAGAAATGGCAATCGCTGACCAGTACCAGAGAGGCCTGTCATCCAGCCTCACGTGCTGCTGAGAGCTGGAAAAGGAGACATGGCCGGGCATACACGGAAGAACTTTGACTTGGAAAGAAACGGAGCCAAGTATGGCATAAAAAAACAACTGTGGTTTGATCTGTGGCTTCCGTTTCTGGTCAAGATGGAGTAACTGGAACCGATTTACTCTCCTACTGAAGCAGCCAAAAAAGCAGATGAAATACAGTGACACAGTCAAAGTCCTGGGCATTGGGCAAGCACATTGGTCCCTCACAGATGGGAACAAACGGTGTGGACCTCATGTTGCCCGGTCACTGCCTCAGAGAACGTGTGTGGTGGAGTAGAGAGGGGTAGAGAGGGGACCGGAGCAGAGCCCAGAAAACTCCCTCAGGTGAGGAGTCAGGGCTGGGCATCTGGAGAACCGGCGCACAGTAGGGGTCATAGAGCCCAAAGCTTGAGGAGCAGAGCAGGGAGAGGACCCTGGTGGTCTGTGGGGCCCCCAGGTGGACAGCAGAGCGCAGATCAGTGCAGAGCGTGAGGAATGGCACGAGAGAAATAGGGACCAGGCCTGGGGCTGACACGGGGCGGCGTGTGGTGCTGGTCCCGTCGGCTGGGCTGGGAGATCTCAGAAGTCAGGGCGCCCTGGGCAGCATTCTCAGAAGGGTCTTGCTTCAGGAATGGGGACTAATTGGTCTTGGACTGAACTCCCCTCCAGACCTAACAAATCATAAAAGCAAGACCTGAAACTGTGCCCAAGTTACTTAACTGCATCCAGAACAAAGCTCAAGGATATTTATAGGAGCACAGAAATATCCTGCCCCCAACAAAGTAAAATTCACAGTGTCTGGCACCCAATCAAAGATTACCAGGCACGCAAAGAATGCAGGGAAGTGTGGCCCATGACGAGGGGGACGCTGTATCAATCGAAACCAATCCAGAACTGACACAGATGTTAGAATTAGCAGAAAAGGAAGTTTTTCAAAGTTATAACTGTATGCCACTATTCCAAAGTTAAGAAGAGACAAAAGATATTAAAAAAAAGAACAACGTTGGGGCCAGCCGAGTGGCTCAGTTGGTTAAGAGTTGGCTTAAGAGTGCGAGCTCTGAGCAACAGGGCCACCGGTTCGATTCCCACATGGGCCAGTGATGCTGCGCCCAAGCTGAGCTGTCCCTGAGCTGCCAACAGGTGGCAGGATGACTCAGCTGGTGTAACAACAAGATTGCCTGTTCAATGGTGTGCTATGCCCACCCGCAACTAAGACTGAACTTGGCAGCTTGAACTGAGCTACTGCCCGGATGGCTCAGTGGATAGAGTGTGCGCACTTAACAACAAGGCTGCTGGTTCGACTCCCGCATGGGATGGTGGCTACGTCCACCCGCAACTAAGATTTGAACACAGCACCTTGAGTTTAGAGGCCACGAGCTGCCGACGGGAAGTCAAATGGCGACTGGCATGCCCTCCACAACTAAGATTGAAGAACAAAAACTTGGCTGGTCCCCTCCCCCAATTCCCCAATAAAATCTGAAAAAAAAAAAGAAAAAGAACAATGTCGAAGTTCTAGAAATGAAAAGTATGAGATGAAAAATACACTGTGATGTGATCAAGACAGGTGAGACACTGCAGAAAGAAAGATTCACGAACTTGAAAACACAGAAGGTATCCAAAGTGGAACACCAAGATGAGAAAGAAGAAAAGGAAGGGAGGGAGAAAGGGAAAGAGAGCCCGTGAACAGTGGGACGACATCAAGCAGCCTAATACAAGAGTAAGTGGGGTCCCTAAAAGACAGGTGAGAGAGGAAACTGTGACAGAAAGATTATTTGAAGGAATAAGGGCTGAAAAATCCCCAACTTTGATGGAAACTGTAAACCCACAAGGAGCTCAATAGATCCTAAGTGCAAGGAACATGAAGAAAACTACACCGTGTCACGTTAAAACGAGACTGCTCAAACCCGTGATAGACAGAAAACCTTAAAAGAAGCCGGAGAAAAGGGCCATGTTTGTAAAGAGAAACAAAGGTAAGGACAACAGCGGGCTTGACACTGGAAACACCATAGACAAAGTCACAGTGGAGTGACATTGTGGATGTACTAGAAGATGAACTAGGGCTCTATATCTGGAAAGAACTTGTATGAAATATAGTGTGACAGGTTCTCAAGGTCCTGGGCATCGGGCAAGCACAGTGATCCCCAACCGATGGGAACAAACGGTGTGACCCCATGTTGCCCAGTCACTGCCTCAGAGAACGTGCGGGCGGGGTGCAGAGCCCAGAAAACTCCCTCAGGTGAGGAGGCTGAAAGTAAAAAATGAAAGTAAAATCAAGACATTTCCAGACGAACGAAAGCTGAAAGAATTCATCACCAGAAAACCTGTATGACAAGAAATGTTAAAAGGTTAAGTCCTTCAGGCAGAAGGAAAATCGTGCCAGATGGGAATCTGGAAGGAATGAGAAGCCGCAGAAGTGGCAGCTATGAGGCTAAAGAGATGAGACTTCCCTTTCTGTTTGTTAAATACTCTTTAGAAGATAAATGACTGTTTAAACAAAAATAATAACAATGTATCATGAAGTTTATTAGTTACATGAATGTAAAATGTATGAAAGCAATAGCATAAAGACTGGGAGTGGAGAGAAAGAACTGTACTCTTGTAGGTTCCATATGTGAAGAAGTGTAGCCTGTGATAAATTAAAGGTGTAGATTGTAAACTTTAAGCCCCTAAATAGCAAAACAAAGAGTTACAAATACTAAGCCAACAGGGGAGGTAAAGGGGAATCATAAAAATACTCAATAATCCAAAAAAAAAGGAAAAAAAACAGGACTAGAGTGTAAAGAGGGAAAAAACAGCTGGGGCAAATAAGAAACAAATAGTAAAATGGTACGTTTGAACCTGCTATATCAATAATTATATTAAATGTGAATGGTGTAAGCACTTCAATTAAAAGATAGAGACGGTTAGACTAGATTAAAAAAAGCAAGACCCAACGACATGCTGCCTACAAAAAGCACGCTTTAAACATAAAGACACAAACAGGACAAGGATGTGAATATTAGTCAGAAGAAAACTGGAGTGGCTATACTAACATCACAGGAAGTAGATGTCAGAGCAGAGGCTATTACTGAAAACAAAGAAGGTGATTTCACAATGATAAGGAGTAAATTAATTAAACAGCATGAAAACCCTAAATGTTTATGCCCCTAATAATAGAGCATCAAAATGACGAAGCAGAACTTGATAGAAATGAAAGCAGAAATAGACAAATCTACAATTATAACCAGGGATTGCAACACACCGTTGTCAAAAATGGATAGAACAGGCAGACCGAAAATCAGCAAGGATACAGCAAACTCGAGCAATATCAATAAGATACACCTGATTGACATTTACAGGACATTCCAAACAACGAGAGCAGAACCCACAGTCTTCTCAAGGTGCACACAAAACATGTACCAAAAAGGACCATATTCTGCGCCATGAAAGAAGTCTCAGTTAATTTAAAAGGACTCAAGATACTCAAAGTATGCCTCTCACCACATGAAATTAAATTAGAAAGCAACAATGGGAAGATCTCTGGAAAATTTCCAAATATTTGGAAATGAAACAATACATTTCTAGCCAACTCATGGGTCCAATAAGAAATCAAAGGGGAAATCAGAAATTACTTTGAGTTAAATGAAAATGAAAGCCCGATATATAACAATTTATGGGATGCAGCTAAAGCAGTGCTCAAAGGAAAAGCTATAGCAATAAACTCTTATATTAGAAAAGAAAGGTCTCGCAGTGTGGAGGCTCCTCAAAAAATTAAGAATAGAATTACCAAATGACTCAGCAATCCCTCTCCTGGATATCTACTCCAAAAATCTGAAAACATTTATCCATAAAGATATATGTGCTCCAATGTTCATTGCAGCTTTATTTATGGTGGCCAAGACAAGAAAACAACCAAAGTGTCCTTTGATAGATGATTGGATAAAGAAGACGTGGTATATATACACAATGGAATACTATTCTGCCGTAAGAAAAGATGAAATAGTGCCATTTGAGATATCATGAATGGATCTTGAGATTATTATGCTAAGTGAAATAAGTCAGACAGAAAAAGTCAAGAACAGTATGATTTCACTGATATGTGGAATATAAAACTGAAAACAACAAAGGAGCAAGACAAACAAGTAAAGAAACAAAAATTCATAGACACAGGGCCGGCCAAGTGGCGCGTTGGTTAAGAGTTGGCTTGGGCCGCCAGCTCTGAGCAGCAGAGCCCCGGTTCAGATCCCACGAGGGCCAGTGACACTGCCCTCTACAGCTAAGATGGCTTAACCTGGAGCTGGGCTGCCATGAGTCACTGGCGACGGTGTAGGCTGCAGTGAAGCTGCAGTGGGTTGCTACGAGCTACTGTGAGTGGCTGGCAGCCAGCATGAGCGGCCATGAGCCGCCGTGAGCAGCCGTCCAGTGGCCAGTGATTGATCTGCCTCACCCGGGAAGAGCGCAATGATGGTGCCAACTTGGGCCAGTGAAGCAACGTCCTCCACAACTAGACTGAAGAACAAAAGGACAGGAACTTGTCTGTTCCCCTTCCCCGATTCCCCAATAAAATCTTAAAAAAAAAAAATTCATAGACACAGATAATAGTTTAGTGGTTACCAGAGGTTAAGCGGGGAGAGTGGGTGGTAGACAAGGGTAAAGGGGATCAAATACGTGGTGATGGAAGGAGAACTGACTCTGGGTGGTGAGCACACAATGTGATATATAGATGATGTATCACAGAATTGCACACTTGAAACCCATGTAATTTTACTAACCACTGTCACCCCAATAAACTTTAATTTAAAAAAAAGAAAGATTTGAAATAAGTAACCTTAGCTTCCACCTTAAGAACTAGAGAAAGGACAGTAAATTAAACCAAAAGTAAGCAGAAGCAAGGAAATAATAAGATCAAAATAGGAATTAATAAAACAGAAAACAGAAAACAAAAAGTTGCTTGTTTATCAATGAATTGATAAACTGCTAGCCAGACTAGTCAGGAAGAAAAGAAAGAAGATACCAATAATCCATATCAGGAACAAGACAGGAGCTATTACTGCATTAAAGGGAGAAGCGGCACGAACAAACTTATGAGATAAATCTGGCAACTTGGATGAAATGGACAAACTCCTTGGACAAACGAGCAAAGCGTGCACCTTTGCCAAGTGTGGAGAAATCAGAGCCCTCGGGCATAGCTGCTGGGATCTGAAAATGGTGCAGCCACTTGGGAAAACAGTTTGGTAGTTTCTCTAAAAGTTTGAACTTTTATATACATAGGTATAGACGCAAAGTATATATCGGTATATAAGCGAGACAAATAAAAACATGCGTTCACACAAAAGCTTGAACACGAGCGTTCACAGCAGCCAACTGTGCAAACAAGCCAGCCGTCCCTCAGCAGGTTGGGTGAGTGACAGGGTGTGGTGTGTGCCCGACGGGAGACGGCTGGGCTGCAGAGGGAAAAGCCGATACTCGATACTCGCTGCAAAACTGCACACGAGTGAAAGAAGCAGCGTGGAAGACCACACAATGCACGAATCCACTCAGACGAACCGTCCAGGAAAGGCAGGCCCACAGATGGGCGGACCCCTGGCTGTGTGGGGATGTGGGGTAGGCAGAGTGTGAGCAGGCACGCGGGGGCTTTGTGGGTGAAGGAAATGTTCTAAAACGGCACCGTGGTGTGGTGATGGCTGCCCGACTTCGTAAATGCACTAAAAATGGTGGAATCACTAATACACATAAATTTTATGGTGTGTGAATGATACTGCAATAAAGTTGTTAAAATAAACCGATTGTGATGAAATCAGTTTGGTGTACGCTACATAACACTGTTTCCTCATTAAAGCTTGCTGAACTAAGGTGAGCGTGTGCACTAGGCATCGTGGGCTTGCGATTATCAGTAGCTGGCCCCACCCCTGGTGGTGGCAGAGGTGACCGTGTGGGGTCACTACTCGCTGGCCCCTCCAGCCCTCTCTGCAGCAGGCACTCGCTCGCTGGGTGGGAAGGGCTTTGGAGAGTCACAGTGTCCAACCCCTGCATCACTGCAGGGCTGATTAGGTCACTTAAAAAGGCGGCCCCAAAACAAACAAAAAAAAGTCGGTCCAGACAGATGGAAATCTCTCCTCGCTTGACTCCCCTAGAGGACGAGCGCCTCTCCCCTCGCCAGGCTGAGAGACTGGCCCACGTATCACACGCAGCACTGCAGGCATTGTCCTCCGCGTTCTGTAAGGTGTGTGACAACTGCGGGTGTGCACACATGCACACGGGCTTAGAGCCCGCATGCTCACACACAGGCACACGCTTGCACACATGTGCTCACACACGGCTGCATCTTGCCAGCCGGAGGGCTTGCACACCTGCTGTCCCTTCTGCCAGAGCTCCCGCCACAAGACCCAAACAGTTAGCGGAGCCAGCGTCAGGGCTGCCAGAAGCCACATGTGGCACCTTGTCTGCGTCCTGCAGCTTAAGAACCTGACACCTGTTTATCTTTCTGGAAAGTTCCACCACTATCCTGAAGACACTTACTCTCAGCCACTTCCCCGTCGTCCTGCTGCAGCTCCACGTGCAGCGTGAAGGAGGAGCCGTGAGCCACGTCCATCACCTCCGCACCCAAGATCGCGATCCTCGTGGCTTGTGCTGGGAGAGAGCAGAGCTTGGCTGCGTGTGTGGCTGGGTGCCCCGCCCGCCTGCCCACCCACAACCCTAACAGGGTGGGACCCCCAGCTGGGCTTCCTGTGTCTGGGAGGGGCTCTGCGCAAATGCGCACGACTGCCAAGGCCAGAAATCTGACCGGCTGCCTCACCAAGAAGTGACCCCAAAGCTAGGATGGTGACCCCGTTTTCAGGGTCAGCTGTAATTATTTTCTTCTGTCCTAAAATATAGATATTTTATTCCAGCACCGGGAAGTGAAAGAAAAGGGGGGGTACGGAACATCCACCCACCCACCCTCCTAATTTTAGCTGATGTTAATTACAAGACGCTAAAGCAAGTATATGTGTATATGTAAGCAGCTATATATCCACATACATAGTTTTTCAGATTTTAGTCTTAAGTGTTCATACAGTCACTCTATTTTTTGTTTTTTATGAACACCCTTAAAAGTCATCTGATGCACTCTAATACTGCTGCTTCTGCCTCGTCACCACTTAATATTGTTTGGATTGTATTATCTGTTTGTGTTTTTATCACTTATGTGATTGGTCAAACTATACGACAGAAGCTGTAAGGGGAAAACTTGCTTAGAATTATACTCTGTGCCCATCACACGACTTTCTCATCATTTTCACACATCTTGTGGTTCTCTGTGTGGACTCTCTCAGCCTCCAGTGCTGCACACATAGGCACCTTCTGGCCGGGCTGCCCGTGACCATGAGCTTGAAGCTGGCACCTGAGTGGGTTCCGATTTGGTCTTTGTTTCAGAGCCAAGTTCTGTTGGCAAAGCCATTGAGCAGTTCAGGTCACGGCTGTTTTTGCAGGTACTTCTATTTCGGCAGTTTCCTGGCTTCACTTTCACTTTAGGTCCAGGAAGTGACTCTTTTTGTTGTTGTTTTGTCCATAATGATTCAACTGTTTCATGGATTTGCTGACTTGTAGCATTTGCCTTTTTCCCGGTTACCTTTGTAGTTATTACTGGCTGAACTGGGTGAGAAACAGTTGCTCCTACGGTGACCAGTCCCAGTGGATGTGCAGGTTTCTTAAATATAGAACCTTTTCTTGCTGAACCAAGCTTGCCAACCCCGAAACTGAAATTTTCGGGAGAAAATCTCGTGATGGATTCTTCAGACGAACACCCACATTTTTCCAGATTGTACTATGTCCATTATCTCACTTTCCACAAAGACAAACGCCCTTGTCCCTGCCAATGTAACCACCGGGCGTAGTGAGGATGGAGGTAAAGTCCGCTGTCGGCCGCCAGGCGAGGCGGTGCCTGCAGCACGCGTGGGGACCGTGCTGGCCTCACTGGTGGCTTTTGGATCCCGCTCCTTGGCTGCATTTCACGCCAACGATGCACGCCGGACCTGCAGGCACGGTGTCAGCCTCCCCAGCCTAACGGCCACCGTGTCGGTGGCCCTCTCCGTCCTAGTGTTTCCAGCTACAATTATGCAAAGTGGTTCTTTTCAGAACTGACTTGACAGTACTCGACAGACTGCAGAGGCCTGCCGAGAGTTGAAGCACTCAGTCAGGTCTGCACACGGCAGGCTGTCCAGCCGGCCCCCCTCCCGCTGTCGGGACTCAGGCCTGCGCTCCCTGGTGTGGCCCAGGGGAAGTACTGTGGCCACCTGCCCCAGGCTGGCCCGTCGAGGGCGGGTCCCCTGCTCCACAAGGACCTGCGGGAATGTCCTGGGGCCTGAGAAGCTGCTGATGGTATTTTTGCAGTGTCTGCTACCCAGAGTCCCTGAGCCCCCAATAGTGATGACGTCTGGTGCAGCACAGTGGGGCTGTTTAAAGGCAAAACCTGAGAGGCTAACTGGAGCTCCTTCGGCAACTCGCCAGCCAGGAGGGAGCCGCACAGGAGCGTGTACGGGGTCACAGGTGCTGTGGGACAGCCTGTGCTGCTGCACAGAGATGCTGGGCACCCAGCCTGGGAACCAGGGCCCACGTTGGCTGTGGGAGCCCCACGGCAGCTGCCAGCCTGAGACCCTGCTGTGGGGAAGCGAGTCCACACCTCACCCTCCTGCCCAGGTCTTTCACACCAGGTATTCCAACATGACCCCAAATTTGGGGATGGTTGAAACCAGGATTCCTTCCCAAGGTGATTTACTAAGATGCTCTTGGGAGACCCAGGGCCCTGCCTGAGGGAGGGGTGTCGGCTCGGCCCTTAACCCGGGCTGCGGGGTGTCTGTGCACCCCCACACATGCGGCATAGGTGCCAGGACCTCTCCTTCAGGACCTCGGCCACCTCCCTTCCAGGACCTTCGTCCCCACTGAGGAGTCCACCGGCTCAGCAGGTGCCCTCGTGGGCTGGGGCAGTTGTTATTAGTGCCCCTGGGGCCTCCCCCACCAAGGGTCCCAGGGCCCACCTAAGATGCATGGGGGTGGTATCCTTGTCCTGGACTCCAATGGGGGGCTGTTCTGATGCTCAGGGGGCAACACAGGGAGGGGGAGGCTGCTCTCGCCCCCACAAGCAGAGGCTCCTGCAGGCCACAGGCCACCTGTGCTCATGTCACAGTGCAGAGCGCTTGGGGGTGGTGGTGGAGGGAGACCTTGAGGGGGCCCAGATGCCCAGGGCCCCTGGGGGACCCCCATGGTAGGGAGAACTGCATTCTGGGAAGCCCTGCCCGCAGCAGGACCCCCCTTGGGTCCAAGGTCTGACTGGGAGACCCTGCATGTCACAAGCCCTTTTGAAACCACACTGGAACAAGTTTTCTAAGAAGGGAGATTTTAGATTCCACTTCATCCTAGCCCCCCAACACCTCCCGTGTGACTGTCCAGGGCCAACTGAGAGAAGGTGCAGGCAGACCCAGACATGGCCCCGCAAGGCCCACAGGAAGGCAGGGGTGGGGTGAGCACCTACCCGCTGGGTGGCTGTTGATCCACATCCCATGGTAGATGACCCCGGAGCAGTGGACCATGCGGCCTAGTCCGCTGAAGACGTCACTGTGCCACTGTCCCTGTAGACAGAAGTGCAGGCTCAGACAGGCTTCAGCACTTCAGGGGATGTGGGATGCCAGGGGCGGCTCCGTCCCACACAGCACCTCTGGGCTCTCAGGCTCCCAGGGGTCCCTGGGGACCCAAGGCTGCAGAAAACCGTGCTGTCCCCAAGGGAGAGAAATTACACTGCATTTGAATGCCATCCAACCTGCGTTGCAAAAATGCACTCCCCTTTGAAATTTAAGAAGCCAGGAAGTTTGGGAACAAGGACACAAATACCACATTCAAACAAAACACCGGCTCTCAGGGGCACACTTTTCAGCACAAAAATCCTTTCACACCCAGATGCTGCATTTGTACAGAGCCCTACAAAGGAGGCCCAGCCTGCACGGACAGACAGTGGTGCGCGTACGGCCGCCAGGAGGGGTGCTCCTTCCTTGACAATGGAAAGGCCCATTAAAAACACAGTGTGAACCCGCACAGCCACACACTCAGGAAATGCTGGCTCCCTGCACCCCAACGCTGCCTCCTCCACAACCAGCCTCTTTCTAAACCACACACACCACAGGGCGGAAGAATAATGTAAAATAGCAGGAAAATTATTTTTGTGGAAAATTTCGAGATCGTAATGGTATTTTATTTGACTATGAATTACTCCTATTAGAAGAAAATGTAGCCAGCGGCACGTTTGGTTCTATTCACTCTTCTGCAGAAGCTAATTGGGCCCCGGTTCCCTGCCCTGCCCTCCAAGTGGGCCCCAGGCCCCCCAGCAGCTGGGGCTGGGCTGCAGGCGGTGCTGGGTTGGGAGGCGCTGCCAACAGGGGGACCCCAGGTCTTCATAACTCCGGCCACAGGCTTGGGGAAGAGATGTGGGGGAGGGAGTGCAGCTGAGGCCGGCTTCGCGTAGCCCAGCACAGCTCAGCCTTCAGGTCAGGGCGCCAGACAACTGGCGGCCCCTGTGGGCGCCTGTCAGCAGTGGAGAAACAGCTTGAGGCTACCGGAGGGGCTGGGCTGCCAGCTGGGGCTGCCAGGTGGGCAGAGGCATGCATGGCTGCCTCCCACGGGAGGCCATGGCTCCTGGCTGTCCTGGGGCCACGGGCAGCCTTATCCCTCCAGCCCCGAGACCCAGAGAGCTGGGTCAGCCCAGTGACGGCTCGTGCCTCCTGAGCCCAAACACTGGCTGCATCTGGAGTGCTCAGCGCCACGCATGCTGCATTGCAGGTCGTTTATCCACGTCCCCTACGATGTGGCTCACATGTGCAAGGCATGGGCCAGGCCCAGGTGGGGGCGGGGCGCTGCTGTGTCCTGCAGACCAAGGACCCACTGAGGACCGCCAGCCAACCCCGTGGCCCTGTGCTACCCTCCTGGGCAACCGCCCAGAATCACCAGTTGACCATCCCTGTCTCCAGCACAGACTCCAAACAGCATCTGTGGGTGGTTAGGGCTGCAGGAGGGGGTGACAGGGTACACATGTGCCTGCATGGGGGGCGGCGTATGTGCTGTGTATGCCTGTGTGTCTGGCTGTGTGTATGCATCCGTGTGTGGGGCGGGGGCAGCGTGCCCACTGGTGATGATGGGGATGAGGTGGGCAGAGGAGGAGAGTGCTGGTCTGAGCTAAGCTGCTGTCCCCAGTTGGTATGGGGACAGCCCTGGGAGGGCAGGGCACCCAGTTACTGTGTGCTGGGAGGCGGCGGGGAACGCTTACTGGTGCAGAAGTTGCTGGAACACTTTCCTTAGTCGAGCACGCTTCTCCGCCCGCCACCACCCTGGACCTGAGAAGTTACCAGCTTTGACTCAGGAAGCAGAACTGACAGCCACGTGAGACCCAGATGCGCCAAACCAAACTCATCACCCCCAACACCCTCCTCGCCCTTTTGCCTAAAAATTCACGCTCCTTTTGTGAGGCTTTGGCTCTGTGCTAGAGTTGGGGAGCAGAAAGCACTGTGCTTCAGTCCCCGGCCCCGGGCATATGGGGGTGGTGGGGCTCCAGAGAAGGCCCAGGCGGAGGGACGGTGCCACAGGGCAGGCTGGCCGCCCAGCAGAGGGCCAGTGCCCCGCGCCGTCCGCCCTCCCTGAGTGGAGCTGCCGTGTCCTCACCCACTCCGTGCTGGGCAAGCGTGCTACCTGCCCGCACAGCGGCCAGCAGTCTTCCGACTGGTCCTGCACAGTGTGCTGGGGTCCTGGGGCCAGGCCAGGCGCCGAGGCCGCCAGGACAGGCGGGAGGCTGGGAGTGCAGATGGACACTGGCTCCGGAGCCCAGTCTGCACCCACCCGGGAGGGCTGCATTCTGCCGTAGGGGGGCACCGCACGTCCGCACGGGGTTCCCGCAGACGGGGCCTCACCCCGCCTCTCTCGTGGTTCTCCATCTCGTGAGGCCAAGTGCTCCCGCCAGATAGGAAGCGAGCCGTGGCCTTTCATCAGCTCCTTTGCCTGCTTTTCTCCTGGTTGTGGTCACGTGTGTCTGATCTGGTCTGAGGGATGTGACCTTCCTGGAGGCAGGAGTCACCCCTCCATGGATGGGCTTGTGCACTTACTGGTTCTATCAGGACAACGTAGGACTCCAGTGAGCACAGGCTGAAAGCCTCTCCAAACAGCACGGTGACCACTGGGCCCATCGACCGCGACGGGCCTTTGTCACAGTCCCACAAGAATGGTCATTTTTCATCTCTGCTCGCCCTCCAGTCCGCTCTGCCCTCTGCGACAGGCAAGAAAGAGGGGAGGGACAGCAGCAGGTTGCCGGCCGGGAAGTGGGGGAAGAGGTGAGCAGGTCACAGTCATGAGGGTGGCCTGCGGGCCCAGGGCTGCAGCCGAGCTGGTGTAAAGCTGCCTGTGGAGAGGGGGTGCAAACCAGCGGTACGTGTGCCCACCGGGCCTGGAAGCCACCTGTACCCCCCAGGGGCCGAGTGGTGTCGGGACCCTGTGCAGTCGTGGTTCGGTTACCAACAAAACGCACCCCCGAATCTGAGCCCATGGCACCAATGTGGGCGAGCAGATATTCAACGCTTTAATAGGGAACCTAACAGGGCGCATGTATTGCAGTGAGCAGTGTCACCACCCAACCACACAGGCTCCTCTAGTCAACGTCACAAGTCATGCCTTTGAAAATTGTGTGCGTTCTCAGCTAGCTGACGTGCACCCAAAGTACGAACAGACACCGATTAATACGACTTAACGAGGCGACGGCACCACGGGGGTGGGGGCTCCTGGCCAGAGGCTGGGCCAGCCGGGCATGGGCACCACGCTCACCGCTGCTCCCCTCCTCCTCCCGCTCAGGTGAGGCCCCAGGAACAGCGGGCACGGGAAGACGACTGCCAGGGCCAGCGTGGGTCCTGTGTCCACACCACAAATAAAGCCAGACTGGGTGGGGGGGGACGGGTCCAGCATTAGGACATGGTCTCGCAGGTGATGGTGAGGTCACCTTATCACCCCGCAGTTGCTGGGGTGACCCCAGGACCCTGGGGGTGATGCTGTGGGCAGGCGGGTGCAGCCTGGCCTCTGCATCCCTGTCGGGCTCAGCCACTGGGCTGTCCTCCTGTCCCGAGTGGCAGAGGCTGAGCTGCAGGTCTGGACCGGCCCCACTTCTTCTGGGCAACACTTCGTCTCAATGAGCTGGGGTGAGGGCGAGGGACTCCTGGGCACCTCCCCACTGCAGTTGGGTCTGAATACATTGGAAGAAGTAAGCACTTGATGCATCCCATTTCAGGAAGCATTCTGCGTTAATCGATGCTATTTTTCTTTCTGAGAGAAAAGTCACTGTGCTTTTATTGGACTCGCTTCTGCCTGTTGGTGCCTCCCCACCGCCCCCCAGGCAGGACGGAATCTCCACCCGGGGCAGAACCCCCATTGGTAGCTCCCCCTCCAGCCCTCCCTGGGGCGCCAGGGCCCCCTCTCCTGGGTCTGCCTTGGAGGGCGTTCACAGCGTGGAGGAAGTAGCCGCCCCACCATTGCCAGACCTCGCACTGGAAGCGGTGAGGACTTTCTCTGAGGTCACGGGCTCACAGACCATGTAGGGTGGCCTCAGGTCAGGCCACATGTGAGGATATGGCCCCAGTCACCTGCTGGGCCCTGTGACTGTCCAGGGACCAGGGTCTCTCCAGCTTTGCCGCAGTGGTTGGTGGCAATGGATTGGGCACCTTTACCCACCCATCTCCAGACAGTCCCCAATGTCAGCAGGGTCCATGGGGTGTCCATGATCCTGGTCCTTAGTTTCTTGGATTTCAAAGTGTGAATTGTGCTGAGTTTTTCTGATGCAAACGCGAGCTGCCTTCATGCATCTGGTATGATATTGCTGACGTCTGAACCCCACAGGGAACATGTGGCTGGGCACTGGTCCCACGATGACCCGGGAGCCCAGACCCCTCCTCCCACATCTGCGTCTCATGGTTCTGTGTTCAACATGCCCCTGAGGTCACAGCCCCACATTCCTGGATTGGGGCCTCCTGGCCCGAGGACGGTGGCATGGGGACACAGAAACCCCTGGCATTCCTGCAGACGTGCAGGAGAGGGGCAGGGAGGCTGGGAGCCCGTGGCAGGTGAAGCACAACGCTGGCCACCTGCTCTGTGCGCCTGGCAGGTGCACCACCCAGCAGGCCTCCCTCCGGGAAAGCCAACACAGACACGCAGCCAACGCGCACGGAGCCGGGGACTGCACCGCACGCACACAAGCAGGCAACGCTCGGACATGGTTCTCTGACCAGCTCAGACTGCTTCCATCGCGCCAGGTGGCCTGCTCGTCCCCACGGGCTCCATCACAGATTCCCCAAGTGACACTGCCCTCTGAGGGGCAGCCGTATTGATAGGGGTCACCAAGCTGCAGCCATGTCCTTGGGAGGAGCTGGTGAGCTCGCTGCCGCCGCCACCACCGGTACACACAGGTCCCACGGAGCTTGAGGCAGCACAGAAGGTGCAGCATAATGTACACCAGGACACGGGGTGACCCGCCCAGGAACTGTGCAGGGCGGGGGGAGCAGAGGCAAGAGACACTCTCAGGCCCCAAAATGAACGGGTTACGCCCACGGGC